TGGAACAAAAACAAATTTGTTTCGTATTTATTTAGTAATTGGCTCTTATTTTGAAAGGATAAAATTATGCGCTTACGCATTCCCTGCAGATACAACTGAAATATGTTCATATATCATTAAGTATTTAAGACTCAGGAACATGATGCTAATCACCAGCCAGCATGCAGAGCCGTCAAAAAATGTGGAAACAACACAGCTATATAAAGAACTGCAACGAGAAGACGAGAAGAAATGACAGTATTTTTGACTCAAGTTTAAATTTAAATTCAGGTCATGCAGAGTTAGCATCGTCTTTAACAGTATGTTAGCTTTACGTCTTTTTGTCATCTACAGAATAGTTATTTTCACTGTATTTGAAATAGCAGTTCTTGAAATTACAGTATTTCTTTCTGCAGAGTTTATAAACTATAGTGAATGTGGCGGAGAAACTGAAGACCAGCAAATAAATAATTTTCTACCCTCGCAATGAGTTGTTTAACGTGCCGATAAAGGTGAAAGGCTTCGAGTTGTTAATAATGCTTCTTCTACTACTACAGACTAAATGGTTTGCCTTATGACAGAAAAACTTTCGAAATCTCTACCAGGAAATGCTAAGAAAGGAAAACAAATCAATTGGAATACAAGGAAACTTGTACATATTCCCCGTTAAAGTACGAATTATTTTTCAGGTTTACGCTTTAGAACCTCACGCCCTTTGTCTTTACAGCGAACATTTAAACAGATAATGGCTCCATCATATTAATGCCTGATTTCAGTACGCACCTTGACGGGCTCGAATTCGGTATTCTAAACATAAGCCAGCAAGTAAATTCGTTTTTTCGAAGCAATCGAAGATTATCGTCTTTTGAGGATCGTTGCTGGCGAGCAACGTATTGCTCTAGTCAATAAAATGATTGACGTGTCATCAATCACTGCACACTGCATATGTTCGAATAGCATGAAACTGCGACCTGCTTAAACGGCCTTTTAGGCAAATGGAATCAAAACAGCGTGCAACGCGGCGAAACGCAGTTTCAGTGGAACGTAGACTGCTAAGAAAAATATTTTTCTGTGAAAGTTCATATGAAACTATTATTACATAGCGAAAACAGCGGTTCGCTAGCAAAAGTTTTACAAATGCCAGTTTTACAGAATGAAAAATGGATGGTAAGTTGCTGAATTCACACGGCATCACCTAAAACTCGAAGAACTAGCGTTATTTATTGTTCTCAAGGGCTAAACTAAGTTTGTTTACAAACTTGGTGTTCACTGAGTAACAGTATGCTTATATATTAGCTTAATTTACGAGATTTTAAGTTACATGAGAATGATATGAAATGAAAGGATATGAAATGGAGGTTGCACTGAGAGTGGAAGGTGCAGTTTTGCAGATCGCGGATGTCTTTACACAGAAAGCGATTTGATAAAGGTTCGGCTCAGCATGGTGAAATTTTTGGAATATTTTTTTTGAAGCACATTTCTTTGCATTCGTAAAGCTAAAACGTGGGGCGGGGACGAGAGAAAAAAGCCATCACATATATCACGAACATCCGCACCAAAGCTAGAATTCGCTAATCGTAGTTATTATTTATGTATACTGTTATTTTTTCGTTATGTGATGAATTCACGACTAATTGAATAATGGCCCAGACTTGTCTCGAAGACAGAGGTCAAGCCACGGGGCTGGCCCATATCAGTATTAATGGAATGTGCGGAAAGTTATCGCCAGGAATGCCGCTCGATTGGCAGTAGGACCGTTGTGACCCCCGCTAAAGAACTGACCTTTGGCGATGGCGAATTACAAAATCTCGTCGATCGGTGAGTTTCCTCTAACAAATCGGTCTTGTCCGTACGTTGTATTCCATAGTGTGCCATTTCATCATCTCTAGGTGAGCATAGGTGCGCTTCCACAACTAATGCTTATAGCCGTTACTAGTGCACTGTAAACAAAAGCGTTTGTAAATAACTTTTCCACTTCGCTAAACACGGCGGTTCCGTGACAACAATGTTAGTGATGCACGGTAGCGAAGCGAGTTCGACGCCGGTTTCGTTCTCATCGTGAGTCGCATTGGAGGAACTAATAATAACTGAACTGTGTAGAAAATATGCATGCGCAAATAAGGGTGTTTTCAACAAGAAGAGCTGTATTCAAAACAGTTTCATAAAATTGCATTAGCGTAGCTTCAGTAACAGGACAGCTAACCGAAGACATGACGGTGCTGCTTGAATCATGTAGATGAATCCGTTGTAGGGTATGTGGTTAAAACATTGATCATTCCAGCAACAGAATAAAGGTAAAGTCAAAGAAAATATGACGTACTGTTGTAATGAATAACTTAAACGGTTTCGGGTCGAAGTATAATTCAAGAAACTGAAGATTTAAGTTTAATACTGAAGAATAATACTTGATTGTCGTCTGGAATGAGGTGTGGCTTGCAGCTCCGGTTGCCCTAGATTAATGATGTTTGACATACAGAAGAACCAAATGATTTATTTGTTTATTGATCTTGACAAATATTCAATTTCAGTTTAGTCAGGGGGATCAATCGTACAAACTTTAGACTGCATATTTATGAGAAAGTTGGTTTTATGACCACCGTAATGAAGTCAGTGGTGTTTAGTTTCTTCCGTTTCTTCCATTCGATGAGCAGCAAAATGGCAATAAGAGAAACAGAAAGTTGACTCGCTACAATAGCCATTGTTTACAGGTGATGAAATTTTGTACACGAATATAGTTATTTTACGCCTAATGTCTTGATACTGCTGTGACTGGCGGTCTCTGATTCCGTGGCTGGCAGCACACGAGACAGAGAGAAATCTACGTTTGCAACTTTCGCGACGTTTTGGTCCAACTGACGTCAGCTATGATCTAGGAAGATTAATATTAGAGCTATTCTTTGTTCCCTTGGAATGGATTCCTCTCCTTTTTCTTCCATTTGATCGTTGTACGTCATCAAAACAGATATTTCCGATGTTTCTATAAAACGCCAGTTTAACTTTTAAATAAACGGGATAAAAACGATTGGGCCAGCTTCTGATGTAGTATTTACATAAAACGCGGAAATCTCGCTATCTAATTTTCCTTCATGAAACCCCGCTACACCTGGCTTCTGGTCAGGAACGTTAATTTAAGTTGAAGGTGATTTACCGGCCAGTCGGTAAATGTGGCATGTTTGCACACTTGTCTGAGAGATGTGCTTCGAATTCTGGAGATGCCGGGTTCGATTCTGCTTGTGGACCATCTTTGTTTTATTGAC